TACTGATGTTTTATTTGCTTTGAGTCTTATAAAATTTTGTTTTCAAAACTATCTTTTATAAAGCCCAAGAAAAGGGATAATGATCATATTTGATTTATACTTGTTATATAACCGTTTTCTCGCACCATTCTAGACTTTATGATTACAGATAGTACTAAAGATGCTAAAGTGGATCAACCAATCAGCTATCCACACTTTCTTAGATTGTTTGAAGGAATCAAAACTACCTCCAACACTAAACTTGACACAACTGCTTGTCTTGGGGCTTGACATACATGGGATCGGATTCTTCAAACAAGTCTGGAAGGTAAAGCCTTGTGTAGATTATCACCTTTTCTCTCTCTATTTTCGACCATAGATAGTTAAGTAGATTAGTTTATTCAAAAAAAAATCCGAAAATATACTAAGTTTATTAGGTTTTTAGTTAGGAGGAATCAGAACAAGACTTGGTGGCTAAAACCATTAATGCTTGCTTCAATCATGATTCCAATAAAGAATTCGAATGAGACTTGGTAGCTAAAACCATTAAGGCTCACTTCATATGAGTTCTTGGATATAGGTAAAAAAAAGTGATGAGGACTTGGTGGCAAAAACCATTAAGGCTTGTTTCATGGAAGTCTGTCCAATCTTGGTCAATAATCTTGCCCTTAAGCAGATTTTTTGACTCAAGAGAGAACTTAGAAGAGAGAAAATATAGGAACTAACTTTTACCTGCAGGTCCAGATACTTGTTTGAGTTTCCTTGCATCCTGTGATCGATACTCCCAAGGTAAAGCCTACACTTTTATTTTATGCAAAGAAATGAGGTTAATTGAGGGGAATGTCAGATAGTATTTGCTAAGCTGTTGGTTAGATGAATCTGGTTGCTAAGCTAGGATATTGCATAATGAACTCATGTGATTAGAATGTCTTAGATGTGGATTGCAATAGTATAAAGGTTATGATATCAAAGTTTTTAAATCAGTGAGTCCCTATTCATTTCAAACCTCTTTCAGAGAGACTACTTGTTTGTTTTGCTTGAGGACAAGCAAAAAGGTAAGTCTGGGGGATTTGATATACCATGATTTTGACCTGTTTTTAGTCATGGTATATTAGTGTTTTTACTACTATTTACTACAGTATAGAAGCTTTTAAGCATATTTATGAGTTCAGGAGTATTTTGGAAAAAAGTGATGTTTTGAAGCATTTTGGAGAGAATTTGCAGAAGCGCTCGATTTAGACTCGATCACGAGGTTGACACAGAGAGACCCGGATTGATCGACATGCATTCTGCATGATCGATCGAATATCAAGACCCAAAGGCCAATTCGAGAGCCAAGTTGACTTGAAGCCCAAGCATCACCAAATGATGATTTGACCCCTGACGAGTTTTAACCTAAGATTATATAGTTTTCCAAAGTGTTAGAGACAAGAGAGAGGAGAATAGAGAGACAGAAATAATACAAATAGAGTTTTTCTCATTCTTCCAATAGCAAGTTTTAGGGTTTTATAGTTTGGAGAGAAGATCTTCAGAGATTTTTGAGATTGAAACTCCAGTGCTTTCTACCTATCTATTTATTTATACTATGCAGTTTTATTTATTTACTTGTGTTATGAATTGCTTAGCTATTTAAAGTAGTTTACTTGTTAAATTTAGGGTTTAAATATGTTAGAGGGATTAGCCCCAACTATAAGATTGCTAGTTGTGATACTAATTGATAGGATGTTCTAATTGCTCATGGTTCTAGAGTAGCTAACTAGAAACATTGAATCCTGGATTATTTAGGTTGGATTGGAGACATTTAAGTGATTCTAAATATCCTGAACACATCCCTATCAATCTAAGATTTATTAGAAATATAATTGACATAATTTGATTTAGAAATCTTAAGTGAGTTTAGGTTAACTCGTGTGCATCACTTGACCGGAGTCATCGATCGATCTTCCTAGCAGATATCGGTCGATGATAAGTTAGTGTATCGGTCGATTATCCCATAGATAATCGATCGCCACTGTCAATTGCGGCCATCTAGTCATTAGACTTATTTATTTGAACGTTAGTTTAAGTAAATTGTTCAGCAAGAATAGTTAATGTTCTATAGTATCTCACAAGCAACTAAATAGCATCCTATGGAATTATAATCCTGAAAACCTGAATATAAACCTTAAGTCTAGAATATTTTCCATATTAGTTTTAAAAGTCTTAATTTCCATTTTGATTATGTAGTTATCGTGCTTAATTGGAATATTTTCTTTTGCTTATTTATTGTCTTTACTATTTATTTATTCACCTAGAGTATTATTTAACTAGATCTATTAAGTTCTTTATCTCCTTGTAGATTCGATCCCTAAGTATTAAAGTTGAACCTCTTATTTGAGAAAGTAATTCATATTTGTAATTTGAGTGATATCACTATTGTATGTATTTAACACTCATTTACCACATTCCTTTACTGCATCACTTATCCCTTTGAATTTTAAAATCATCAATATCTAATCGGAATAACCCGAGACAACCATAACCGTGATATTTGTATTTTTGCTGAAGATTTGGTCTCACTCTGGTCTGGATACACACATTTTCAAATATATGTTCATGCGAATATAGAAATGAATAATTCATTCATTCATAGACCACAATCCTTCACATAAACAACCACAAGACATTTTAGGTTCCTCATTTTCATATAGGTGTTCATACAAATTTGTCGTTGAATTCTTAACATGTTACATCTGTATTCAAAGATTCATATGTAACAGCCACACATCATCAAAAATACAAATATCACAGTTATGGTTGGTCTCGGGTTATTCTAGTTAGATATTGACGGTTTTAAAATACAAAGGATAAGTGATGCAGTAAAAGAGTGTTAAATACATACAAAAGTCAACTTCAATCAAGTAATTAATTTTGAGTAAATTTGATTTATTCAAAATTATCATTGATTATAGGAACAATTACATGTAAAATTCAAAAACAAATCAATATTAAAAAAATAGGCCAAATATTTTACAATTAAATATTTACACTTATTTTGATAATCATCCTGAAGTTCAAAAATCAAATATAATTTTTCTTGAGTATATCATATAAGCCAATATAATTTTGTTAAGTATATCATATAACTATAAAATAAGAAATATAAATTTTCTTGAGTATATTTTGTGTATATATATCAAGTTTCTGCATTTAGGTCCTCGTTGAAAAAATTACGAACAAAAAGGTATATGACCACATACTATACTATAAATTAATCTTTTTAAAAAATAAATAATAATATGTAAATAGTTTGTACATATAATCTTCATTCCACGGAATGCGCGGAATTTTTAAAATCGTTTAGTTTAATCAAAAATATGTTAATTCTACAACTAATTTTAGTAAAATTTATTAGTGAGAAAAATCTTTTTTCCCCCGCAAATATTAAATGTAAATATTTAATATATATAGAAAAATTCATGTAATAATTACATAATCAAAAGAAAATATATATTATTTCACGTAAATATAATTTAATATATATAATATATGATAATAATTTAAAAATATATTTCACTCCGCGCAGGACGCGAATTATCACCTAGTTTCAAACTATTTAAGAAGTTGTTAGTATATCTAAATGATAGATGTCATTAGGCCTAGATGTCATCGTGTGGGAGGAAATTAATGTTTTTAGAGCACTATTATCTCCGAAGCTTGGAGGAGTGCTTAAGGGATGGGAGCCACAAAAAAAACATAAATCAATGCTTCGAGCTGTAGAATAAACGTCTGATTTTCATTGTTGTTTGGCTTGTTCCATGGACCCTATGACATGTGGTGACCCGCGATTGATTTTTTTTGTTTTTGTTATTTTTTTTATAAATCCGAAAAAACCAAAAAAAAAAAAAATTTAAGCACCTTTTAATGGGTGCTCGATTAAATGTGCTTTTAGTGGTTAAAAAAATAAAACATAATTGATTAATTATAATATTAATATCTTTTTTTTCTTTTAGAAACTTGTATTGTTTCAGACTGTTGGACTGCTCTAAGATTAATTTTTTCCAGTGATCCCAACAAATTTATGTGGTTTGAAACTTGACTCTCTTTTTCAGTGACCAAACCGGATCATAGTGGGATTGAGGGAGTAGCAGATCAAATCACTAAACAGTAACACCCATCACCACGTGGCGTACATATCGAGGAGAGTATATCTTACGCGCGAAGCCCTGTGCGTGCGTAGTATAATAAACTGGTACCACAACAACAAAACTAGAACTTTACAAAAAGTCCTTATACTAACTATTTTATGCGTATAGTTCATGAACTACTACAATTACAAATAACTCATAATTTGTGTTTTTTTTTTCTTACAATAGCAACTTCTGATTAGATGAACACCTTCGAGAGTGTTAACACTTCTTTTCCTTATTTTATTTAACTTTGACGAAAAGACTTCTTAGCATATAGTATGAGAGAATATATTCATATCTATTTTTATAACCTCATAACTTTATTAACTGGAAAAGATTTGTACGAGTGGTCATAATATTCATATCTTCTAAATTTACAAAATACATAACCAATTGTTTTCCTTCATTTTAAAATAAATTATAACAAACATATCTGAGATCACCAAAATGAAGAACTGTTTTCGTTGTTCATAGTAGATACTAGAAAGGAATTTTACTAAAATTGTTAGTCAAGATAATTTTGAATATATATATATATATATATATATATATATATATATATATATAACATTTTTTAGTTTATTCTTTTGGTTCAAAAGCTCTTCAGTCTTTCTATTATGGGAAGACAGAAGTGTATCGGTTGACAATTACGAAAACATTATCAAAATAGTGTTTCATTCATTCATCACCTAAATGCAGAAGCAGAACTCTTTTTTCGTTTTTCATAGTAGAAAGGCTATTTGACAAAACAAAGTTAGTCAAGGGGTTTGATTTGTAATATCCTCAAAATGAAAAGAATGCCATCAAAACGGCGTCGTCGTGCTGCATCAGGCTTAATCAGTAGGTTGTCTTTTGGCGTTTATTATCGCCGCCGGGACAGTGAAAAGAGAGAAGTGCTTTGATCTCTCTTCTCCTCAATCTTAATCGGAGATTTCTGTGAAGGTTTGAGGTCATCGTAGAGAGAACGAAGAAATCGTTCGAGATCGATTCCGTAATCGTAGGGACGATTTCTCTATAATCGATGGCATCAGAGGATGTGAAAAGCACCGAATCAGCAGCTGTTTCAACGATCGTGAACCTGGCGGAGGAAGCGAAGTTAGCGAGAGAAGGCGTCAAAGCTCCAAGCTATGCTGTCCTCACCATCTGCAAGTCTCTCTTCGCCGGTGGCGTCGCTGGTGGAGTGTGAGTTTCCTCTTTTTTTTTTTTCTCCTGAAATGTTGATTCATGGGTTTTCAATAAAAATCAAAACTTTATTGATGTTGATGAATCTGGTTGCTGACGATTAGTTTAAGTAGATCAGTGGCTGAAGCAGTCAAATGTAGATATGGGTTTATGTCTGAAGGATTAGTATAATCAGAAAGTGTTCATTTTACCTGAAAATGGTCGAGTAATCACATGTATAAAAGGAAAAGAGCAGTTAGTCCACTTTATCTTTTACACTTTTTGTGTTAAAATCTGAACGGAGAATGTGTGTTTTTTTTTATTAGGTCACGAACTGCAGTTGCTCCTTTGGAAAGGATGAAGATATTGCTTCAGGTTCTCACTCTTTAGTTAATTGTTTAGTTTGTTTTCGAGCATGTAAATGAGATTTAACATGTTCATTTCTAATTATGTAGGTGCAAAATCCACATAACATAAAGTATAGTGGGACAGTCCAAGGGTTGAAGTATATTTGGAGAACCGAGGGCCTTCGTGGACTCTTCAAAGGAAATGGCACCAACTGTGCTCGTATTGTTCCTAATTCTGCTGTCAAATTTTTCAGCTATGAGCAAGCTTCCAAGTAACACCTTCTCTGTACTATGTTTTCTTCCTCCTACTCAAACATATATAACTTAATCTAATCCATGCACTCTCTCTTTCTCTGTTAGGGGTATACTCTACATGTATCGTCAGCAGACTGGAAATGGTCAGTTGATTTCAGGATAATATTTTTGCTTACTCTCTGTTGAATGATTTATGTATGATATTACCCACTGTTTTAAGAATTGCTAGGCGGTAACTAGGCATTTAGAGGACTAGCTACTAGACTGATTTTTCGGGGCTATTGATTTAATATATATATATTATATTTATATAAGATATTTTAGTTTTTGGGTTTGTTACCTATAAGCTGCTAAATGAAGCCTTTTGCATCTATGTCGCATCTGTAAATCAGTTTCTATTTTATGGCTCATGGGTTTCTTCTGTTTATGCTTCTGCAGAGAATGCCCAGCTCACTCCTGTTTTACGGCTTGGAGCTGGTGCAACTGCTGGAATAATAGCCATGTCTGCAACCTACCCGATGGATATGGTTCGTGGAAGGCTAACTGTCCAGGTAACCTTTTTTTGTACACCCCAACTTTGTAATTTCTGAGGCCTCATTGATCATCTTTGTTAACTCTGCAAACATGGATAATGTGCACAGACTGCAAACTCTCCTTATCAATATAGAGGAATTGCACATGCTTTATCAACTGTCCTGCGAGAGGAAGGTCCACGAGCCTTGTACCGTGGTTGGCTTCCATCAGTGATTGGAGTTGTAAGTCTCGTTTCTTTTTCAGCGCTCGTTAAGTAATAGTAATAGTTCATCAATTTCATGAGACCCTTGTGGTAAATGCAGGTTCCATATGTGGGCTTGAACTTTGCGGTCTATGAGTCTCTAAAGGACTGGCTAGTCAAAGACAATCCATTCGGACTAGTGGAGAACAACGAGCTGACAGTTATAACAAGACTCTCTTGCGGTGCTATAGCTGGAACGGTTGGTCAGACAATTGCTTATCCACTGGATGTGATTCGTAGGAGAATGCAAATGGTCGGGTGGAAAAGTGCGTCCTCTGTTGTTACAGGCGAGGGGATAAGCAAGTCTTCGCTTGAATACAACGGTATGGTTGATGCATTTAGGAAAACAGTTCGTCATGAAGGCTTTGGAGCATTGTACAAGGGTTTGGTCCCTAACTCAGTGAAGGTTTGTCTCATATACCAAAACCCATTTGCATTCAGTAAATTAAACATCTTTTCTCAAGAGTGTTATCTGTGTTGCTTACTATAGGTTGTACCATCAATTGCGATTGCGTTTGTGACATATGAGATGGTGAAAGACGTTTTAGGTGTGGAGCTCAAGATATCAGACTGAGTCCATTTGATGATATCTTCAACAAGAGAGAGAGAGCCGCACACTTCTATTTTTGTAGCCAGAGGAGAGAGAGAAGAGAAGTTCAACATTTAGGGAGCTTTTATTTAATCTCCTTTCAGCATCCATGTGGAAGAGCTTTAGCCAAACTTCTATTTTTTTCTTTAGATTGAGTTTTCTTCTGAATCAAAATAATAAGCCAAGAGGCCAACTGTATCAAACCTATTTGGTACTAGAGCTTGTGTGTTTACAGGTTTTGGTTGGGTCTTTTGGTATTAAGTTTATCATCATTGTTATGACTCTTATTGGTAACTTGTGGATTAGATTGAATAATTCTACTGTTGTCTGCAGCTAGCCTCAGTGTTTTGTGTATGCATGGAACACACAACAAACTTGTAGGAACTCAATATCATACCATGTGCTATGGTTGTTTTGGCAAAAATCATGTCTCTATATCCATTACAATAAAACAAATACATGGAGAACCACTAACTCTGATATATTATTTATAAATGAATCTCAAAATGATGAAAAAATGTGTTTCAAAAAAATGATGAAATAACGGTTGCATTTTGTATCACAATCATATGAAAGCTTTCAAGTAAAAACAAGAAGGATAAAAACAATTACAGAGCGACTCGTGAAGCTGAAACTTTGGCCTTGAATCTTCGATGAAAATTACACATCGATCATCATAATTACTTATGAGTGCAATTTAATCCTGCAATTTAAATAATTAATTTTATCTGCACTAATCAGCTTTATATACAATAATCATCTTTTAATCAAAGGTAGTAAGTAGCACGTACGTACCATTTAAGCATTGTAATGGTGCATTTGGCCATCTGTTTATCAAGCGTCTGTAATGTAACGCCACCGCAACTGAGACTAGTCCCCACCGTAACAATCTTACGCCTTCCCACAGCCAATCCTACCTTCGTCTTAACCGTCACCTTCACAACCAACTTTTTACTCTTCATGTCAACTCGAAGCCTCTTAACCGTCAGATCATCCACCTGTTGTCTCTTCACGTTAGTCGGTACGATCACAACCGTCCGATTCCCTGGCTTCTGCACAAACCCTTTGACTTTCGTTGACCCTAGACTTGTCTCGAAATCGCCGTCTCCTACGCTCACCGCCACGTCAGCATCACCGTAATAGTAACGTAGTTTTCCATTGGGATTTCTGAACTCGAGCCTCGCCGAGGTCTTCGCCGTCAGCTGTGAAAATCCATCGTCGGCTTTCCCGCCGGAGAAGTTGAAGTCGGTGACGCGGAAGGAGGCGAGGCGAACGACGGGGAGTCTCGGGCTATAGATGAGGAAGAAGACGGAGACGGTGAGGATCAGGAGGAGGATGACGACGGCGACGGTGATGAAACAGCTGCAGCAGAAGATGCGGCAACGACTCCATCGTCTCTTCTTCTCCGGGTAAAAAGACGGCGGAATCATATGCTTAGGGGGGCGGCTAAGAAGTTTGGATGTGTTTGGGGTTTCAGGAGGCGCGTGAGGCTCACGATAGCCAGGTGGTTTCTGAAGCACCGGTTTTAGAAACTTCTCCGCTTCCATTTTCTTCGTCGCCGGTTAGGACTTTGTGTGATGATCTCTCTGTTCTTTCTCCATGCATATTATGATTTAAGTATATAGTTACAAAAATTAAATTTGAAAACGTCTTTTTCATTACGATTTAATATTATAAAATGTACTTATGTAATCCTACCAACAGAAACAACGATAACAATAAATAATAATACAAAAGATTTTCCGACACTTTGGCCACTTATCTGACGTGCCCTTTTGTCTCTCTGGGACTTGAACTGCTCAATGTGTTTTTTTTTTTAGCTATTGAGGAATATACAAGCAGGGTCGCACATGAATCTGTAAATGTTATGTTATTACTAGAGAGTTGGTGTTAGTAATCAACTAATCATCCGTCACAAGTTGTATTGTCGTCACGTCCCACGTAGAGGGAAGCACGTCGATATGTAGAATAAATGTCTTACAATATGTAAAACTAAAAAAACACACGCACGGAAAGTGTTTTATTAAAGAAGAATACAACACAAACGATTACGAAGCAGAAAGACCGTCAAATACGTCTAATGCAGTCGCTTATATAGTTATATGATATATAAATAAACCTATTTTCTGCTTTAAGGATATTAAATCAGTTTCTGCTCACAATGCAGAGAGCTACAAATCTAAAACAAAAAAGTTATCTCTTTTTCAAGTTACAGTCACAACCCAGATGAAGAAATGAAATGGGTTTCTCACTTTTGCGCCACAGTCAGCTAGCCGCAACAGAATCGGTCCTTAAACTTACGTTTAATAGTTGATGCTCCACATTCTTACTACTACCTGACGCAGAGTTGTTGGTCTTATCAACTCCAGATATTAGGTCTCTGTTTTCCCATTTGCTTGGGCTTTCAGTTGATCCTAGAGAGAGAATATTAACTTGCGACGTTCATAATGACAAACACACTCATACATGTATTCAAAACGTGTGATGTGATGAGTACGTAGACTGTTACTAGTAAATCCACGAATCAATCCACCAACCCTAATTTCTTTTTGTTCTTTGTTTCTTGCGAATCTACCCGTGTATTTGTTTCGGAGATCATGATGGTGAAACATGATAAGCCTTGGAGAGTATATCATAGGAGAAAGAAAGGTTCAGGAAGTATGGAAGAGAAGGAATGACTTAAAGAATAGAAGACTCTTATTGTGATAGAGTCTTTGCAGTTATTTGTAATCTAATTATATAAAATATACTTTCTTCCCTCCTCCTTAAGCCACGTCAATAATTCGCTTAATACGACGCTGACACGTGTTCTCTACGTCCAAAACTATGCGTTTCACTAAAGGTATGGACTGCTGCTATTATATGTTTCTTATGATTTAGTGGGCTTTATGGTTACTCACGTGATTCAGCCCAACTATAGGGGGACCAGCAGCAAGAATTTTAGGGTTTCGTGTTCTTCTTCCACGATAAAACGAAAAGTCTTCTTCTTCGATCTCTGATACAGGTATGAAGTGGCGATGTCTTCCATCCACATGAAGAATCTCTTTGTGAATCTTTGATCTGACGTTCTATCTTCTCTTTAGATAAACAAAAAAAGTTTCTGTTAATTGATTCATCCCCTTTGTTGTGTTCCTTAACTCCATCACTCCTCTTCAAGCACGATCTGCTATTGAATGCACCTTATTCATCTGAAAGGTAAACGTTTCCTTCCTTGAACCCTATTATCTGAACTCGCCATCAACTTTTACTTCCCACTACGTTTTCTAATTACCTTCTTCCCACACTTCCGGATGAAATCCTCTGGTCGTTGTTCCCAATCCGTCGTGATGCGTCTAATGCGATTGTGGGAAGCATGGAAAGCGAAGAGCGGTGGAGAGCACAAAGCTAATTGTGCTTCCTTTCGTTTTCAATAATGGTGGATGATAGCTAGAACTCTGGTGTGCTTTGATGATTCCTCGATGGCCACAAAGAGTGTGTAGGTCGTTTTCTTCTCGATTTGTCTCTCACATCTTATTTACACATTTCACGGTTTAAAACTGAAACTTTAATCTGATCAATGAAATCAAGAACACAAAATTTGCAGGTTTGTTGGTTGTAATGTTATAACATTTGTTTAGTCTGTATTTGAAGTTTACGATGCAGTTTACACATCGCGCACGTGACTTATATAATAAATTGCATATTTCACAACATCATCTTTATGCGACATGATAACTTGGACTGAGATGGAAAATATTCAGCTTTGACATGCTTTAAGTTTTAGATCTTTCAGCCTCATGTCATGTTCATATGTCTGAGTTGCTTGGTTTCCACAAATTAATGTTTTACATGCCGATAGGTTTGTGACTGATAGTGAATTGGCTGAATGGAATCTGCAGTCTTCCGCGAAGGATCGTGAAAAAGAAATGAGGATAAGCTTTCTAAATGAGAATATGACTCAAAGAGACATGGGTGTTCATGACGTTTTGTTTCTTTCTCTGAATATAAACCTCACCTTCGTCTTCAAGTAAGCATGTGTCCATGATCTGATGATCTTACTTACTCCATATGATGTCATAAATCTTATTAGCTCTCTATTAGTTGGATTTGATTCGATTCTGGTTTTTCTTTCTACATTTCTGAGTATGTTTTGCATTATGTAAATAGATACACTGAAATGTTTGATCTGATTTTTCTTCACAGTTATTTGATTCATTTTTTAATCTGTGGCGACAAAGGCTCCGTGGAATTATGATGAACTGATGCATGAGAAAAAGCAGCATCTAAAAGAAGAAAAGGGTTATTTGTAATTTTATAGGAGCAGGTACCATGATGTAGAGCTGTGTAGTTAATAATCATTTCACTTACGCATTGTTCTTAGATGCTTTTGTGGTCCATATTATTTTAATCTAATTGAGCATGTTGCTTGGTCACAAGTAATACAATGAGTGTAGGTACATAGCTTCTAGAGGCTTTGGTTTAGTATGGTTAAGATAAACCTTGGACATGGGTATTTTCTCGGTCGTAACTCCATTTAGACTCTTTCGTTTAGTACTTCAACATAAGCTATGTGAATTTCTCTATATGGAGAACAACCCGCCTCTGTTGTCCTTCACCAATCTACAAGTGATGATCACTTGGCATAGTTGCAACGCCTCATAAAAATCATACTGTGACCTCTACACTATAATTATCTAATAATTTATGCTGAATTCTTTAGTGTTTATACATGTTTTGAAACTTGAAATGAGCTGCATATGCAGACATGAGTACGATCATTGCTGTGAAATTAAGGATAAAGCTTGGTTTTAGGAGGTGGGAAATATTTTAGTTGACGGGAATGAAAGGTAATGCATGCTTTGTATTGCTCTATCCGAATGTGACCTTTTTCATTACTATAACACATTCTCACTTACTCTTTTAAAGGTTTTTGTTGGAGTGAACTTCCTTTCATGGTAGCATTTACGTTTGTGTTTTGCCAAGCCTTCTTATTTCTAGAACAACAGTCACAATAATGGTAATAACTATTCAATGTGCAGCAACGACGCAACCGCAAGAGAAGCTTTATTTTGTTCAAGACGAATAATATAACGAGCAGTGTCTATGATCTGAGTGAGGCTAGAATTGGATGGAGTGGTGGTAATGGGAGGTATGGCTAGCTGTGAACAGGCAGGAACATATGTATATGTATAACTTGATATGTTTTAGTGATAGATTTGATGAATGCTAAACTATTTAAGGTAATGTTCTCACTTCTCAAACTGGGGTGAAGATGAGTAACTCTTCACAGTGATGGAAATCAATATTATAGGAATGAAACGTCTGGTTTTAAGCTAACCTATTACGTTAAATCCTTGCCAAAAGTAGTTAAAAATAAAATAAACTTGATGGAAAGATGCTGATTCTTTCTACTGTAGCCTCGCTTTCAATCTGCAAACGTTTAAATAGTTGCATGATGGAAATCAAGTGTACTATGTTGACCATTTTCAACTTCAACTTCTGCTTACAATCTCAGTTCGTTTCCTTCAATCTGTTACTATCTTCCTTTGTTTCTGAATGCTTCTTGAAGGACCATCTTCAATCTTTTGGTATCCTTCTGATTGATTGTAGTTTGTAAAGTACGTAGGCAAGTGAAGTAAGTGAAAATCTCCCTTATGTCACTACTATTCACTTTCTAGTATGTAAATTTAAAATTAATATATCTTCATATTTTATAAATAATTAATCATTAATTTCTAAGGTTTCATCAAAAAATGTTTTGCATTTATAAAATCACAGTCAGCCAAATATTTACAAATAAATTACGTACTTAATATTATTGATAAACCTCATTTAAATTTAATATTTAAAACTATTAATACAAAAAGGTTTCAAGGTACTCTTATCTAAAATGTTTGAAAGTATTCTTATGCAAGAAGTTAATAAAATAGATATATTCATATATTTGAAAACTATTTTCTTTCAAAATTGTCATGAAAAGATGATTTTGTTTACAAAATCATTGTATGTAATAGACTGATGTATTATTTATGAAAAATAGAATATTTTTTTTAAAGCATCCCAAAATTGATGTACAAAAAAGTGAAACTAAATTAAAAATCGTCAGGTTATAATACAGCTGAAAGTTTGTATCACAACATCGTTTACTTTTCCGATATAATAATTTTACATAGAAGAGAAACGGAGATCAAAATCTTTAGATAAAAGTTAGACAAAACCATGGCGGCCAATTGCTGAAGGAAATATAAAGATCAATAATTGATCAATCCATGGAATTAGTGTTGCTAGGCTCGAATATTACCGATATACAATACATAATCGGTGGCACACATGCTATTATTAGAAGCAAATATGCTATTATTAGAAACAAATGACCAAATTCATTTTTTTTTTTAAAAAAAATTGGCTTCGCTAAATTCATTTTTATTATATAAGCAAACGATGTAATCTAATGTTGTCATATCTCTATTTTCATTATCATAATTAATAAAATTCCTCACAATTCTCTTTTTCCACTCACAAATAATGTTAATTTAGTACGTTATGAAGATGGCAAAACAAATATAACCTTTC